GGGCGGAGAAGGGGGCGGTCGCGTGCGCGGGGCGGCTCTGTGAGGCGCGGGCGCCATGATGGGGGCAGGTGCTGCTGTTCTTGCTCCTCTCCTTGGCCATCTATTAATGCTCCCCCGAGCTCCTCCGGGTGTCTCAGGCTACTCAGCCGCGGGGTTGGGGTTAAGCAGGGGCTGTAGGGGCTCCTGGGAAGGAAGCGGTGTATTTAGCTGAGGGGGAGCGCCGAGGCTGCGCTGCCGCCGGGGGTGAGAGGCACGCTCTTCTGGAGCTGCCTGCGGGCTTCCCTTTCTCCTCGGTGCTTCAGGAGAAGGTTTGCCAATTGCGTAGTGGGAAGCGCATGGTTAGATATGTATGATAAAACTAGGGGTAACGCACACCATGCACCGTGGAAGGATGCACAGAATAGGGCTAAGAACCATAGTATTGCGGGGGCTAAGCCAGCAATAATTATACGCTTTGCTTTATTTGTTTTTCTCTCGCAATGGTAGTTATTTTTTCAGAAAATAGCTATTCCAGACATCTCTCAGTTTCCCTTTCTAGCCTCTAATTAGTTTTGATGTTAATGCTCGTTTGCACCACTGCACTTTGATTATTGTTCTGGCATTAAAATTAAACCACAGAGGCAGATTTGTGCTTCCATTTGCTTGGTGAGGCGCCAGCAGACACTCAGGAGGGATGGACTTGCCTGGGGTCTGGGTGTTGAGTTGGGCAAAGGGCAGCTGAGCCGTCCTCTGAGTGGAGGCGTCTTGTGGTGGGTTGATGTGGAAGATGCTGCATTTGGCTTGATATGTACAAATACGTGGTTGGATTTTCGTATTTCTGTCTCTAGAAAGTGATTGCAATTCAAAACATGGTCTGAACTGGAGTTCAGAAAACAAGTGTGGAAGAACAAACGTTTGAGAAATTACCAGAAATTGGTAATGTTTGGCCTGGATATTTCCGGCGGAGTTTGCACCAGAACAGATACTGATATTTGCAGCCTTCCAGGGCAATTACAGCACCGTTTCCTTCGGCCACTCTGGATCTGCCTATCAGACATGCAGCAGCCACAGCTGGGACGTGTCGGATGGGCTGGCAGAGCTGCAGCCAGATACCTCGGTGCTTGCGTGGCCCTTGGCAGCGCCTGCGTCTTGGGGACATGGTGACAGATGCTCTGAGCCCTCCAGGCAGGGGAAAGGGCTGCCGGGGAAGGAAGGCTCCATCCTTAGGGTAATGGAGGCTGGCAAGAGGCAAGGGCAGGATGACCTGATCCGCGATGCTTTTCTTTCCTCTCCCCAGGTTTCGTTGCCACTCTGATATTGGCATGTAATTTTGGACACGTTGCTTAACACTCTGTATTTCTCTTGCTCTTTCTGCCCTGGAAACTTAAGGAAATGGCCAGGTGAAATGCCAGTCTCCCAGCTCCATGACCACTTCTGAACCTGACGTTCACCCAGACTCAGACTGTCCTACTTGATGCCCATTTGCTTTCATCAGAGCTTGCTTGCAGCAGGAAGGGGTTAAGCCTGCCCTTGCCTGGGCTGCAGGGCTCCTTGCTGCAAGGCTGGGCACTGCGAGGCGAAGCCCGATCCCTTGCAGGTACCCAGCTACGCTTGGTGGCAACCCCGAGAAGGTAAGAAGCATGTTTAGAGCAGAGAGCTTTGGCCAAGGGGGATCTGGGGAGAGTGAGAGATGGGTTTTAGTCCTGCTAGTGGCTGATTTAGGCTTTCCAATTAATGAACTGGATCACTGTGACTTTTGTGAGACAGATTTTTCTCTTTTTTTTCTCTCATTCTTAAGACTTAGGCTTTGACCTGTCACCCAGCAGAGGTGACTCTGTGAACACAAGTATATAAAGATATATGTATGGAGGAGAGGGAGGTGAGATGCTCGGTTGCATCGCAAGGTGTCAGCCTTGCTGTAAGGGGAAGGAACCGCGAACACCCGAGCAGCTGGCTGGGAAGACCGTCCTCTTGAAGCTATAAGCACAGAGGCAGCACTCCTCTGTCTTCGAGGACCAGAAGTGCCATATCCTCTATAGGCATCCTCCAGTAGTGTCAATTAAAACCTTATTTTGCAGCTGCTCAGCACATGCTAGAGATGTCTAAGGGCTGGTGATACCTGTGGGCGGTGGGATGAGGCAGGAGCAGAGCTGGGTGCTGGGAGCTCCTCATCCTGCCCAGCCTTCCCGCAGAGGGAGCACGGGCATGGAGCACGGGCAGCGAGCGCTGCTCGTGCCACAGGCACCACACGCAGCCTTTCAACACCTTGGTTGATCCTGAGGAGCATTTTGCGGCTGGGCTGGGCTCCTGGGAACAGATACCAGCTTCAAGCCTCCTCTTCTTCCTCCTCATCTTCTAACGTCACTGACCTTAAAACTGGTCGTGCTTCTTACTTGTGGCCAACAAGGCTTCTCTTCATGTGCTCCCAGCTCGTAGCTGAATGCTTGAGCAAACAGGGCGAGACAAGCTGCTTATTGAACCAAATGTTACTTTGTTTATAAAAATCTCTGTATAGCTGGCATAGAAGCAGGTCTGTTACACCACGTAGGCACGTAGCTGGATGTGTGCTGTCCGCTTATGCATTCTTTTAAGGATATGCACTGAGATAAGAATCAGTCCCGTCAATTTGAAACTCTCCTTGTGTTGATAATATATCTATGGGTGTAATTTGTCAAAGCATGCAGCAATAAAGTGAAATTGGAGAAGCAAAAAGAAGAGCTGTGCTGGGACTAACTCATTACCCTGTCTCAAACAGGGACCTACAGGGTATGTTTAGGGGAGAAGGAAGAGAAAGAGGATGTCCTGTGTTTCCCAGCATATTCCCTGTTTCAAATGCTTGTTTGATGCCCATTTTTGTAGTTTTCGCATGTGGGCAGCAGGAGTTAGGGTAAGACTGCAGTTCAGGGGGAGCCCTGAGCCATGTGGATTGTTTGTTATCACTGAAATCACAGTTTCAAATGCACGTGTTTGTTTAGGAGTGTTTCCTTGTTTGCATTTTTGCAGAGATAAGGAGGGGAGAGGTTTCAGAGCCTTGCTTCAGATACCAGGGTGTCTTCCTTCATGTGCCAGGTCTCAGCAAGCCGGGGATTTATACAGTGAGCATAAAAGGTGAGCCAAGTGATGGCTGTGTCATAACACCTGTTTTGTGAGTTTGGAGCCGTTTGTACCTCATACCATGGACTTTGCATCAACTCTGCCTTCATCCCCATAAGCCAGCTCTAGGCACAACCCTTTGAGAGGGCTCACCCAGCTCCCTTGGTGGTGACAACGAGCCCATCCTTCTTTGACCCCACCAAGGAGATTTGCTCTAGCCAAGACTCGGCCTTTGGGCTCTGTCCATGCTTCTGCTCCTCTGTCCAGGCTGCCCCGCAGACCTTCCTCCAGGCTGCTGTCGTGTCCATCATCTTCAGCCCTGCGCTGTGGAGGAATATGAAGGGTTGGGCACTGCAGCTCGTCGCGTTGAGCTCCTCCAGGACCCAGTGTGCTGAGAACCTGGAGAAGTGGGAAGCCGAGAGCCAGGCTTGTCCATGTCCCTGCCGCCCCGTGGGCAGATGTGCCAGGCTGCTGTGCTCTGTGGTACAGTGCGCAGGGGAGGACAGAGCCTTGCTGGGATGCTAGAGACACCCAAATCCCTTGTCTTGTTGTGTGGTTGTGCAAAAGTAGCCCTGCTCCCTGGGTAAGGGGTTTATTGATGGCACTGTAGTTTTAATCACCCAGTTCAAGCAGGGATCTGCTTACATGAAGTCCCCTCAGGGCTGCAGTACACTCTGAAACATTAGCACCCGTAGCTTGGATGCACTCCTGCAAAATCCTTTGATCCAGTAAAAGCTGAAGATAGTAAATGACTTGCCTAAATCTACAATGTACCCCTCTGATCCCCGCAAATTTCTGAGAAAGTTCATTTGGTTTTATAA